CTCCCCCCCCCCCCCCAAAAGAATAGTTTTATAAACAGATTAAGAAAGTCAAATACCAGCAATTAAAATAGATCTAAAATTAAACTAGTTTATTAAATTGTTTGCAAAAGATTTAAACTAGTTATATATGATTTATATACAATGCTTGGGGTTTCGACTATATTAAATTTTCATCAGCCTCAAATTACAATACATTAAAAAATAAAATTATAATAGTTAAAAACGTTGGATAAAATTCAAAGCTAAATAATATATTTATAAATAAAATAGTTAATATATTTCTTTTTAATTTTAGATTATGTGGATTTGAATAACACATATTTCTTAATTTTTAAGAGATTTTAATTTAACTTGTGCAATCAACTAAGTTTTCTGAACTTGGATGTTAACAATTACTGCAGTTATCAAACAATTACTGCAATCAAGATGAAACTTGAACATTACAAGTAATTATTCTTATTTATATTCTTGTTCTGAATAATAGATACTCTTCTTTCCTTATTTCATATAATTTAAATTCTACGTATGTGTATAAATTATGAAACGTTTCATATAAATTACATTGAATTATAACTTGTATTTTCATACTCGATTATTCGATCAAAGTGATGAGGCACAAATAATCTAGTATATAAAATTAATTAATATATTGCGGATCAGATATGAATGTGATATGAATGCGGATGATCGACCAGATAGAAATTGATTAGAAATTATATCTAAGCTACATGATATGATAAAAACAGAAATATCAAATATTTCAGATAAATAATTCGAAATTTACGAATCAAAAATACAATTTAATCAGATAACTTCTTCATCTAATTCTATTGGATTTTTTAAGCAGAGAAAAGATTGAAGACAAATTAAATATAAGTATAAAAAGTTATGTGATAAATATGTTCAAAATATAACAAATATTTTACGATATAACGATAAACGTAATTGTAAAATCCATTACCGTTATCAAAAAAATGTAACTACGGTACTGTTATAGTTCTAAAAAAAAAGAGAGATAACTTTGTTACCAGTATAAAAAAAAGTATTACAAGTAACATGTTACTTTCATTCCCTGATTATGAAGAAGGATAAAGCCTCAATGTGCTTTTTTTCTGTTTCTTGTTTTTTACCTCACCTTGTTTTTTTGCCTCTCATCCGTTTTTCATTTTCTGTCGTTCAAAATAAAATTTAATAAACTTCAGAAAAAAACAAGAAATACGTGGCAAGAAATACAGTTGTTAATAGAATGATCGCAAAGCTGAGGTAAAAGGCAAAAACAAGAAACAAAGAGCATATTATAGAATAAGAATTTTAAATGATACATTATGTGCATCATGCGTGAAATGGAACGCACCCATATAATGATTCGCGAATTTGAACTGTCGTTTGCGCGGGAACGCAGTTCGAGATGGCGGTAACTTATGGGAGAAAATCGACGAATCCATGGTTAACGAGGCGAGAAAAGAATGAGCGTAATATTTTTTGCGAAAGAAACACCCCGCCGCGAGTCGCCACTCTACGGATGTAGGACAGCTTCCGACATTTACCTACGAGCGGTCACATATATTCTCAAAAATTAAACCAGACGGCGATATAATAATATAATTATCAAATTATTATATGAATGTTACTTGAATCTATTTTAAAGCAAAAAATAATATATAATAGAAATAGAATATCATTAGGGCACACAGTGAGTGCAAAAAGTAATCGTACAGGAAAATTTTTTATAAAAGTCTTATTTGTAGAAAATAATTGTTAATTAGGACTTTACACAATGAATATGTTAAGACCTAAATAAGAGTTTCGCGCGTGTTTCTGATCTCAGAAGATAAATTTCTCGACTATACTTTTTGTGAGTCTAATAATACAATTTTTCATTTGCATTCATTGTATTTATTAACAGCGCATGCAGGAGCAGAATATATCTGCCGAAATCAGAAAACCATTCTTTCGTCATCAAATCATCTGATAATGACAATATATGTGAAATGTGGCCAAATAAATATTTATCGCAATTGGTGATAAATTAATTAGCAATTATCAGTAAACGAACATGACATATTTCAAATCAAGTATCATATTTGCAATTGCAGTAACAGGGTGTATTATAGCTTCATTATTTGTAATTTTATTATACATAAACATGAATATACATATAAAATTAATAGATACAATTTTATAATATATATTCCGTTTGTAATTAATTAATATATATTTTGTATATAATTGTATTATATAGTTAGTCTTATTTAAAATTAACTCTCCATCTGCAATCAAGGCTTTTTTCGCACAAATAAAATTTCTCTCTGAAATTTCCCTGAAATAAAGGAGATAATGTTGTTCCTTTTTCTAAAATATATCTAATTATTAAAAAATTATTTGGTAATATAATAGAATTGTTAAAAAAGTAACCCTTAAACTTTTCTACATTTTTTAAAGACTTAGAACAGTAAAAATCTTGGACTCCATACAACACAGATCATTGCAATATTTCAGCAATATGTATAGTAACATTACAAATGTAGCAATCATATTACGTTGTTGCAATCAAGTTAATTTCTAGATATGCTGTATAAAGTTGGACAAAAAAGGTCCAAACTGTACACGGAGATTATAAGTATTTGAGGTTACACACGCGCGCACATTCACACATACATAAAGTTTATCTTTTACAACATTATTTATATGTATTATACAATATTTGATAAAAAATATTTGATGTGTGCAATGTGTTTGCGTCAAAATACACACATAATATTCATTCTTTTATAATAATAATTCTAAAGACGTATTTAATTGAATTAAGTTGATAGCGCAAAATCAGCGCTCAAAATTTGCATGATCAACGCTCAAAATTGCATAATCAGAAAACTTACCGACTTTATTCGATGTCTTCCGCGAAGATCTCAAATTTTAGGCGATTAAGTATCAATGCCTCGTTTTTCTGTACGAAAAATAAAACATAAATCATAGCGGCCGCTAGAATTACAATTTTTGTTGAGTCTTTCGACTCGTGTGTTTTTCTCTCTCTCTCTCTCTCTCTCTTTGTCTCTTTCACGCTTGATTTCGATAGTAATAGATCTCGAATGATCGATATCGCGCGCGGCCAACCACCAACCGCCAACGTCAGATGGCGAGCGGTGGAGTGACAGCAGGTCGAGTAGGCAGCTTCGGGCAGCTTTTCCTCTCTCCGAGGGGGGAAACGCGAGGAAAGAGAGGTTAGGTTTGCTCGCGGTGATGGCGGCGATAAAGGGCCTGGGTAGGAATATTCCCTACTTAAGGCAACAGGCTGCGGCCCTGCTCGGTAATACCAGCACCAGCGTCAAGTCCATCTGCGTGGTGGTGCTGTTCTCGTATTGCCTGTCCTTCTCCGAGGAGGCGATACGCATCCTGAGCGTGACGCCAGGTTACCTGCTGCCGCCGGTCTTCTGGTTCTGGACGGCCTTTACCTTTTGCTTCCTCGAGATACACTTCTGGGAGGTATGCGTGGACGTCGTGACCGTCGGTTTATGTGGCAAGTTGATCGAGCCCCTGTGGGGCGCCTTCGAGATGATGACGTTCTTCGCCATCGTCAACTTCGGGGTCGCAGTGCTCTCAGCGCTCTTCTATCTGTTTCTCTATATGTGCACCAGCAACCCGGACATGCTCTTCAGCATACACATACACGGTTTGACCGGCTATATCGCAGGTACTTTCCTTTTGCAGTCGATTGCACGAACATTCTGATCAATTTGGTTCGTTGCTTTGTTCATTGGCCTTGGCCAGAAGTACAAAATACATAAATTGACGTAAATGTTCCACATCTAACAAAAAATAAATTAGAAAATAATTTTACTGAAAAACAATACCTATTTTTACAACATTTTTTAAATATTTTATTAATTACCTTTACCTTTAGTTACTTGATGCGTTTTCCAGCAAGGATACAATTTAATACAGTGAATCATCCATTCTTGTTGTTTGCCAATGTTAAACAAGAATGAAATGATTCACTGCGTTGTACTGTGTTTGCTCTAAACAAAATAGATACATATCTATGTGCACTTAAAATAAAATATATGTATATTTAGAATTTAATGAAAGCAAGATAAAAAGTTTTAATGCAGTACATTGAAGATCTTTATACTTAAGACTTTATAATCACAGAGCAGAGCTTTTGTTGATTAATCTTTGTAGGTCGAAAAACTATTATAATATTATAACACTGAAAAAGTATCATATTTCAATACAAGAAATACAATGAAATAATTATAACAAATCTTACTTAAGGAAAAGTTGTAAGATTTAAAAAATAGACCCTTATTCTCTCTAAAGATTAATTTATAGTGTTGAAATAATTTCATTTAAAAATAATTTTTATTAGTCATGAATATAAAATGTCCCCGAATTAAGTATGTCCTTTTTAAAAAGATTTTTTTTAAAGGAATTTCATGGAAATGTACTTTGATACAACTTTAAATAGAAATAATTACTTTATTTTACAGGAGTTGCAGTAGCAGTGAAGCAAATAATGCCAGATCATATCTTAATCAAGACACCCATTGGGAAGATTACAAATAGAAATATACCCTTAATGGTATGGATTGTGGGATTGACATTATGGCTCGTTGGATTACTAGAAGGTACTCATCCCACCATGTTTCTTAGTGGATTATTAATATCTTGGATATACCTGAGGTTTTATCAAAAACACAATAATGGTACTCGAGGTGATATGGCAGACAATTTTACATTTGCGAGGTGAGATTTTTCTGTAATTTTGATCAGTTTCTAGGATTAATGAAAAGAGTCCGACAATTGTCTTACTTGGAACTCTCTTTGCAGTTTCTTTCCAAATGTTTTACAACCACCGATAGCAGTAGTGAGTAACACCATACATGGGTTTTTTGTGCGCATTGGACTGTGCCGAAAAGTAGTTAGAAGATTTGACATGTCCAACACACCACCTGGCTTAGTTATTAATCTTCCTGGTATTGATCCTCATGACAGCGAGCGACGCCGGTGAGTAATTTCTAGATAAAAATACAAATGCTGAAACTTAATTTTCAAATGAGTAAATATTTTGTCATTACATAGTATTCTCATTTTTCCGATCGATATCTACTTTACAGGCAAATAGCGTTGAAAGCGTTAAGTGAAAGACTAAGCAGAGATCATGCGAAACCTTGGCAACCGGACAGGGCTAAGAAACACTCCCCAGTGCCTCCCGCGGTTTCCATACCGATACCTGAATCCACTACACCCAAACCACTCGCATCTCCACTCATTCCACAAGTCAATGTCAATATACATAATCAACATCATCCTTCTAGTAGTACGTGATTATACGAGACTGACTGATTTCAATAGGTTTATAAATTATACTGAAAAGCTTCTAAAGAGTAATGAATGTAAGACGCAGGCTTATAATACGGCTATATTCAATAATGGGTGCAAATCCTATTTTTTAGATATGCAAATCGCGTATCTATAGATAGAATTTGTTATCATTACAGTATAATTTAAATCAAACTAAAATTTATCATTCTTTTTATAGTGTAAATACATTTAAATTTCATGAAAATTAATAATACGTACGATTAAAATTCATTAAGAGTACTTGTTGTACACAAAAATTCTTATTTACTCTCTTATAATATTCATATATTTAAACATAATGGAATATTATAGAAAATTTCCACATTGAATAGCTCATATAGTCTTTGAAACCTGAAAATCGCTAAGACTTTAATGCCATTATAGATTGCTAGTAATTACCATTCTTATGCAATGTAAGTTGCAAGTTTCAATCTTTCATTATTCCTATAGTAGAAAGAGTTGATTTTCACAATAAATTAATTATGAAAACATTTCCTGATTAAAACGAAATTAATATACTGCCATTTATGAGAAATCAAATTACGTGATAAGATATGTCATATTTCTGTGATTTTATTTTTATATATAATATTTATTTGTCTATTAATAATTAAAAAATAACTTTTGCTATAAAATATTGCAACAAATTATGGGATGTCACTCCTTATTGATTATCATGCCATATTAATGCCAGTTTAAAAAAGTATAAGTTCAGAAGATTTTTTTAACAGCATTTGAGAGAAATAAAATCAATATTTGTATCTTATAATGCTATTTTCCAAGAAATGAAACAATTCTTTGTTACACTAGATTGTATAAAAATCAATGACATGAAAATTTTAATATTTCCATAAAAAGGCGACCTTACAAGTTTATAGTGCCATATGATTAAAGCGCACTGTTCCAAAAAAATCCAATTATAATTTAATAGTAACATATAAAGATGCTTTCAGTGCAGTATACATAGCGACATAATTCTGTTAAGAAAACGTTGAAGAAAGTGAACAGATTTCATTTTATTTAAAAATAAATTTTGTACTAATTAAAAAAATGCGAAAGAGATGGAATCTCGATGTTAACTTATACATATATACATATATTGAAATCAGCTAGTTATGAAGTCATGCAGAAAAAGTTCTGTACATTTACATTTCAAGTAAAACAAATATATATTTTTTCAACAAATTGTTCTAAAAATCATTATAATCAACATAGAATATAACACTAATTTACTATTATCAGTTCTAATTTGGTTTTTAATTTATAAATGATTTTATACATGAAGATGTATAAAAATTCCAATTTAGATTGCATAACTTTATTTTGTACAGGATCGTTAATTTTATGTAAATGCGTATTTAATGTTGTAAAATGTATTCACATTTTTCGTTCATTTATTATATACATTCGTATATACATAAACGGTATTGCGTGGGAATGGAAGATAGTTTTAATAATAATTATTATGAGGTATATATCTTGTATATAAAATTTCACGATAATACAGACGAATTTGTAAATATAATAAAGATTGATGTAAAATGTAAAGGGAACAAGATATTAAAAAGGGAAAATGATTGTATATAGCGATATCGCTATGTATAATCATTATACATATAATGGAATGATATCAAGAGCTATTTTTATGTATGGTGAGAATAAAATTTTGGAAGTATGTAATTGTGTGTTTGAACAATTTTGGCCATCTATTTAACGCAATGATATTGACAAATCTTTTAAGTACTTTTATTGAGTATTTAGTCAAATGATATTTATTACTATGTCTGGAAAATAGAAGGCCAAAATTCGTTGAGTGTGAATGATGTATTTGTTGAAGAAGCCTGTTTTAAGAATCTAATGTAATTATTACATGCATATGTACATGTTATATACACACACACATACACATATATATACATATATATGCATATATATTATATATATATATGTATATCAATTTTGTACATATAAGTTACAATCGTTACAATCTGTACAATATTAAATTCTACCGACAAAATATCTGTATTTACTTCATTACCAATACATTTTAAAATCAATATGGTCGAAAAGAAAAGTCAGAGTGGGAGATTCGGGAAATCCTTAATAATCTGTAAATATATTCCAAATACTAGAATAATTAAAACACTTAAAAATTCATAAATCTTTTATCAAGGGATATAATCTCATTATTATAATGTCTTGTACTAGATATATACAAATATGTTATATATAAACTTCTTTTGATAACTTTCTTAAAATAATATATGTTTTTCAATTCATCATTCATCTTTATGACAGAACGCCATAATGTTTCAATAGAATATAATAAATATTGATGCACACATCTAGTTTTAACAGCAAACTGTCGAGAAATCTCGACAAACATATATAATAACTAAATCAATTTTAATGTAAAATTCAAACAATGTCGCTTATCAGGTATAAAACATATCGACAATTGTATAATATATAAAAAATAATATAGAACACATATTATACAAGCATCTGATGCAACTACATCATTTATGTGTACATACAATATAGATTGGATTCTGAAAAATTGTGGATTCTTGAGATTTTATACTTTTTAAATAATATAGAATACATAATAATCTCATAGCTTTAAATTTAAACGCTTATACAATATACGCTCTATATGATAAGAAACATTTTAATTAGATATACATTTATAATGTAGACTCGTTCACACAATGATATAAATATTGAAATATAAAAAATGATACTGCTTGTGTGTGTGTGTGTGTGTGTGTGTCTATATATATATATATATATATACACACATATATACATAAGCGCGCAATAGTAGATAGGATGTCATTTTACAATTCAATATTCACCGTTATATAGATCATTGTATATTATATTGGGAAATTATATACATTTATGTAATATCCCCAAATTTTTCTTCACAAGGGATTTAATAAATAAAGCCCCAATAAGCTGTTTATGACAATCAATATAACATTTTTCTTTTTTCATTTTATTGGGGTTATCAGATCCCTTCAGAGAAATATAGGAACAATAGATTCAGACCGAGTAATCTTGGGTATATTTTTACAATTTGTTATTTAAATTGAGAAAATATTTCTCCACTTAGAAATATATATAAAGTGATAGGCTCACATTTTTCACGTCGACTACTCTACCACTAAATTACAACACTCGTCTTTCTTATCTATAAAACTGCTGTTGATGTTGTGACCATTGTGGCTGTGGTGGTGGTGGCGGTTGTTGCTGAGACGGTGGTGGACCGTATTGAGGTTCCTGTATATAACCAGTAGGAGATGGCCGTATGGAGGTTGGTGCTGA